TCAAGCAGTTAAAACACCAACTCTAAGACTACACAGAACAAGTCAGATCCTACAATGTTTTTCTGTTTAGAACAGGACCTGATGTTCCAATACTAAAGTATTGGAACATAATGTTTTAATAGTTCTCTACACAACAGTTAAATCTTGTTCTTCAAAACACTTGCATAGTGTTTTAAAAAACAAGCCAGATCAGTTTCTTTGGTACATATCAAGGAATTCAGCTAACATTAAAGGTCTAAATAGGAGGAAAAAGAGGGAGAAATAATTAGTATAGCTCTATATACAATTAGAGCTTCCCCTTTGGTTAAAAATATCTCTCACCCGACCAAAATAGAGTATCTGTACTCAAAAGCTGTTTGCCATAGAGTAATAAACTTGTCCTATTAGGGGATGATTTACTAAAGGCTTGCCTTTGAGTACTTGTTTCTTCATTAAATGAATCTCTCCAACTGTAAAGAAATCTAAAACATTAAAGTGCTTCAGTTGTTATCAGTGTAGACCTTTGTAATGCAGAGTGTTGATTAAGCTCAACCAAGAAACAAAATTCAGTCACTGAAAGCCTATCTAAGTTTCACTCTTCTATTCTAGATCTCCTTTGAATGAAGCCTCTGCTTTCCATTTTTATCACATGTGCTTTTGTAACTTCTTCCCACCATAAAAAAATATAGTCTCCTTAATTTTGGTAGGGCATGTGTAAAGACATCTGCTTTGTGGAACCCTCCAGGTAGGGCCGCAGTGAACACACACCAGAACACACTCCTTGTGCTACTCCTTGGCACAAGCTGCAATGCTGCTTGCTTCTCCACAAGGAATGACAAAGCTGCGGGAGCCTTTTCAGCACTTTTTTCTTATTTGGTATTCCAACTAGTAGCCAGCTGCAGCAGGGAATTCCCATTGCTCTGTGGCACTCCAATTTATGAACTGGAATTTGTTGATATCTTCACAATTTTATTATTTACCGCCTTCCCTTTGCAATGGCACCGAACTGTAAGATCCCACCCACCATCTCCAACCAACATGCCTTTCAAGGGAGAATATGACATGTTTCCATGCATGAAGCTAGGAAGCAAGTTATAGTGACTACCTGCCCTCCCCTCCCATTTTTTAGTTCTCTGCCGTCACTGGAGGGGGTATAGATCCCCAGTCTTCCAGAAATCTAAGCCGGTTCATAGGACACCTTTTGACTGCTGCAGTCATATTCTGCACCTTCTGCAAGTTCATAATGGTCAGGAGTTATACTCAAAAAGCAGGAGGCCTATACAGATCTGTCTCTGAAGTAGAAAAAAAAAAAAGGTCACAATTAAGTGTCCAGATGAAAAAATACAGAGTTTAGTGTCACAATCTATTTAATCTGCAATGAAAGAATACTGCCTAAATGCACCACACAGTAGGAAATGTATGAGCCAGCCCAGTCAAGCTCCCCATCTATCACTTTGGAATCAAGGAGGGGGAAACAGCAAGACCTGGCTTGTCACACAACTCCAGATCTCATGCCAGCGAAGAGAAAGAGGCACACAGGAAGATATGATAGAAAGTAAAGCCTGATTATCTTTTTCCATCCTTCAGATGGACAACTTCCAAGTATAGTCAGTTGATCACATCCACAGTGTTCTTCTGCGCTATAAAAGTGACCAGGCAATTGTGTAACACAGCAGAAGCTTTTCTAGAGTCTGTCAAGTGAGGAAACAAGGGAAAGTGAGTCACACAGTAGCCTTGGGCTTCCAAGTTATTTCTAGGACAAGATGTTAGACTTAATATGGGGCTTCACTTGGGGCAGCTGCTAGTAAGTGTCAGTTGCCAACAGCATATGTGCAAAAGCCAGATGTTTCCTGCAAGTCACTGACACTTACGAAGTCTAAGAATTCATGTCACTAGCTCATAGTTTCACTATAACAAGAAACAGCAAGCTTCATACACCTTTTGAGAGCCAGAAGTTCCTCAGCAGACCTGTAGATACTAGCTGCACTTGTAATTTACCTTCATATTCAAGTAATTACCCTGAACTCACTTCATCTGAAAGTTTCATCCCTTACTGGCACAAGAGATGTAGATATACCTATTTCTCTTCAATACTCCTAGTTTTTCATCCTTTTCTGAAAACAGTAGCAAGCCATACTCTTCTGCTTATCTATTCAGTTACAATGCTGACTGCCTAGCTTAGAAGCAACACCACAGTAGCAAGAGGGAAAAGCAAGGAGGAAGATCTGGAACTTGCTTCAAGCTTTATTATTGGTCATTTAAATTCATTGAGAAGGATTAAAAAGCTGCTGTTAACTTTTAAAAGCATTTCACCTTGCAAATATTGTAGTTCTAGTGCTTACAATACAGAAAAGAAAATGTGAAAGGGTAAGTATCACTCCTAGCAACTGAACACCTACAGGGTTTGACCCCCAGAACTGCAACACTGACACCTCACCACCACCCACCCAGGGAGGTTTCCTGACAGGAATACACTCTTGATCACAAGTCAGCATGAGAAATACATACCAGTGTAACTTGGCAATAATCATTTAAGAATTAACAATAAAGAAATGTTTGCGTTCATTGGAATCTAAAGTATGGCACCCTTATGCTAATGACAACTGTACTAATCACTACAAGAGATGAAGCTCAGGGGCTTATATCAATCAACATTGCTGCAAACAAGTAAACCAAACTCCTCACCTTCACATGTACTTAATCATGCCACTTCAAAGGGCAAAAAGACAGACTTCATGAGTTAAACACCCTGGAAGTTCACAGCTTTCTATTTAAGAGCTCATAAGTTAAAACTTTAAGACACATCTTTCCCCAGAACTGTAATTGCTAGTGCTCATAATTGATATTCTCCCCCAGTCATGAAGGGAGAAATAGCAAAGTCAGTTCATTTACTTCAAGCAAAAAGTAAAGCAGGAGCCCTTTGTATTTGGTTTTCCACTCTCCTGAAGTAGCTCCCATTCCAAGAGACATAGCATAAGGAGCAATTAAACTGCCTTGTAAAGTACACTATATAAAAATGGCATATATGAAAACTGTTTGATATACAGGCTTACTATAAAATTATGCACTGCCATCAGGAATTTTTTATTTTGTTCTTTGTTTAAACTGATCTTCATTAAAGCATTAGATATCAATGCTGATGAAGGGCCCTAGTCGTCCAGTCAGACTCTTACTTATCACCTCAAAGCTCCTCTCTATTTGGAACCACTGCAATTTTGAGGCTTATGCTTGATATGGGGTAATACAGATATATGCATAAGCACCCCTGTGTTTCCTCATCTTTTAATGCAGGTCTCCAATAATGTATGGCATACACCAGTTCTGACTTAGTTCTGCTCACACTACTTCTAACAGTTGTTACACATCTGGCCATAAAAGAGGCTACACAGCACAGCTGAACACAAGGACATCAGTGCAGCCAGTAGTACACTTTCCATAGCTCAGAGAAGCACTTAGTAGCCATCATGGTCAAACAGCACTTCCATTTAAAAAACAAACAAACAAAAACAAAAAAATAACAAACCAACCAAACAAAAAAACCCCGCAGAACATTGCACTGAAGTCCCTTGTTACATTTCAGACGAGTAGGGATTCCAAAGACTCCTGGTCTTGCCTAACCATGATCTAAGTTAATTAAGTACTACATTTCACAGTATTTCAGACTGCTAGGTCAAGAATGCACATAGCCCAATGCATCCAGCATGCCTGCAGAGAGATAAGTCTTTCCACTTACCCACAGCGGTGCTTTCATTGCAGCATTGGCTGAAGAACAGCCACTGTTTTGCAGCTCTATAATTGAAAGCTCTCAGGCTACTCGGTAGTGGTGCTGCAATGGTAGCAGTCGCTCACTGGGAGAACCATATTTAGAAAAGACGTTGGGTTCTTCCCCAGAGCAATGTAATAGTTTGGTAAGTGAAATTAACAGCCCCAGTAAGAGTCAAACATTGTCAGATTAAAAAAAACAGAGCTAGACTCCTACAGGGAGAAGTCTGGGCTGAAGGCATCGAGCTTTATTGCAGGGATTCATTTAATCCCTACTCGGGAACATAAAAAAAAGTCCTAAAGCTATGTGCTAGGAACAGGGGCTACATTAAATGCAAGACAAGCAATATAAAAACACAGCCTGCCAACCTCCCCCCTCCCGTGTTTTCTGCAATAAATACCAAGAAGTTAATACCGGTGTATGAACTTCGCGCACGCAGCCGGCACCCGACTTTTAACAAGCGAGAGGGGAGGCCTTTGCGAGGGTCTGCGCCGGGGGGCGCTGCCCCGGCGGCAGAGGCTCCACCTGCGGCGCTGACAGGGCCCGGGGGCAGCGGGCCGGGGCCAGGGCAACCTGCCGCACTGGGGCGGCGGCTCACTTATTCACTTACCCGGGGCCCCGTGGCTCGGTGGCCGCGACCCTGCGGCAGATGCACCAGCAGCAGCGCCAGCAGGAACGGGCGAGCACCCGCGCTGCGACAGGCCCGCGGCACCATGGTCCCTGGGGGCGGCAGCTCTGGCAAGCGGCGGCGTGCCGGTGTCGGGCGGGTCGGCGGTGCGGAGCCGCCGCGGCAGGTTACGCGCTCCGGCCATGGGGATGCCGCTTATAAAGCCGCGGCGGGGCGGGGCCGGGCGGCACTGACCGCCCTGAGCACCAATAGCCGCGCGGCCGCCGCGGGCCGCAGCCAATGGGCGGGAGGCGGCACCGCCCGCCCCACCCCGCCCCGCGGCCCGGCGTGAGGCGGGCGGTGCAGGTTGGTCGCGGGCGGCGGCGCTGCCGGCGGGGCCCGCGGGGTGGTGGCGCCCCGGGCCCGCGGCACCCGGAGCCCTCGGCGGCACCCGGAGCCCTCGGCGGCACCTGGGCGGGTGTCAGGCAGCCCCAACGGGGCTGCGGGAGACAACCATCCGGCGCGGCTGGCGCTCTCCAGCCCAAAGCCCTGCAGGACATACCTGGCCCCATCCCCGGGCAGGGACAGCAACAGCTGAGCCGTGCAGTCAGGTCGGGCTGGTCACCAAGCAAATTTGGCGTAGGAAATCACCTCATGGTCCACAAGCCACGTTCCTTTGGTCTGGCGCTCTAGGGCGAAAACTGCTGTAGGCACAAGCTCATGTCTCAGGGTATCAGGTCCTCTTGTCACCTCCGTGCCGGGGCCCAGCGCATGGCTGACCCACAGCCACAGAGACTACCCGTCCCTGGAGATCTTTCCCCGCCTTTCCAACTGCACAAGTAGCCCTACAACCCATTTCTTTGCATTGCCCAGCCAATCCTGAAGACCTCGTTATGGAGGTGATGTGCTTGTGGTCCTTCCCTTGCACCTGGAAAACCATTCCAGCTTCAAGTTTGGTACCTCTTGAGACAACAAGCCCTTATTGACTGCATGAGCGTCCCAGTATGTACAAGCAGGCACTCAGTAATGGGAAGCTTGGGTAGAAAGTGAGCATTGTGTCATGCAACAGGAAAGTGAGTGCAGCTGTGGAGCAGAAGCAGGAGGGAAATGGAGATACGTCGACCATCAGAGCCCAGTCTCTGCAGGCATGTCTGTCTGATTATGAACTAAAGAGGGAGCAGTACCATGGCAGTGTAATGGAAGTAAGCTGTAGACTCTGAGCACTCGAGGCAGTCTAATGCCAAGCCTCTGTCTACGTGCTGACTGAGTGGTAGAGATATCTTGTGAACCAGACTGACTTGCTTTTACATTGAGTCCTTCATTTTCAAATTACCAGCATGAGTTTGATGGAGGGTATGTCAGGGCAGAGGCTCAACATTTTGAAAAATAATATGCACAGGAGGCTATTGCTATGCATGGAATACTGATAATTTTATGTAGCACTGTTTTGTGCTGCTCTTAAGGAAACATACAAGACATGATATTTCTTCATACGCTCTATTTAACTTTCTTTACTGGGTGACCTTACAAGAGGCAATGCTCACACTTGCGAAGATTCCCTACAGTGTATCCGCTAGGTATGGGGAGGGGCTGCTACGCCCACACGAAGAACCATGTTACACAGTAGAAGTCGTGTAATCCTGGCATCTTATCAGAGCAAAGCAGAGTGTTTAAGTATAGTGGTTGCTTTAATCTTTCTTAAAAAAAAAAAACAAAACAAAACAAAAAAAAAAACAACACAAGAACAACAACAAAAGCAACTAAATCCCCCCCACAAACAAAAATACACAACTGAACATATTTATTTTAAAAATGCCAGTATTTAACATTTTATCATTAGACTAGACAGGATAAGCCATTTGTTACTCACACGGAGCTCTGCAAGTGTTCATTATTTTTGGCCTCTGGGACTCCAAACACAGCACTCCATACAAGCCTACCTTAGTCCTAACCTTCACCACTCTGCCAGCTCTTCTCAAAATAAGGCCTGCAGTATCCTCTGATTTTCCATTTCAAAGTCTCTCTGATCCACACCTGAACTTATGCCATTACACATGACATGAGCAGAAAGACCTTGAGGGGAAGAGGAGGGGGAAAGCTGGGTAATCTGGATACAAGTGTCCTTGTGTACATCAGGATCAGCTCTGTTGAGTTTGGATGAGTTGTATCAGTGCACACCTGAATCTGTGAAAAGACAGGCAGAATCTAGCACAGTTTTGTTCAGGCAGTGATCCCACCACTGAAATACCACATCACCTCATAGTTAAAAGTCTTGATAAAATTCCAGTCCAGATAACAACATCACGCTTGCCTAAGTTCCCCTCTGCATCTGACATCTGCATCTGCATCTCCATTTTTGCATCTGACCTATTTCATGTGTGATGCCTTTATGTGTTCTTTATCACTTCTACTTTAAATATGAATTTCTTTCTTTGATGTATTTTTTCACAGACAAACCCATGGATATCAAGATCTCTGTGCTATATCAATGGTCATTACCACTATGAAAAAATAATTGTTTTCCTAATCCCTAAAAAGCAATACCAGCTACACGGAAAGCCTACCCTTCAATGCCTATGAGGCCCTGACACCAGCATCTGAACACCAAGTAAAAGTTCTAGAGAGGGTCAGAAATTCCCAATAACAGAACCCTTTGATCCCTTTATGGTCAAAGTTGTTCATAACCTTGCCACACATACTTCCAGTCTTGACCTATATTCCCATGGCCAGGTGTTTCTTTGTAGGAATGTACGCTTCCTTTGCAGAATCACAGAATATTCTGAATTGGAAGTGACCCACAAGGATAATCAAATCCAACTCTTTAAGTGAATGGCCTGTACAGGAATCAAATTAGTGCCTTAGTACAGAAGAGACTTCATAGCCTGGCCTATATATCACAAACATTAAATTCCACAGAGATGCTCCAAGCCCAAAAACCTTACCAAATCATCACTCAGGAGGGTGGAGGCCACCCAAGTTCATTTAAAGACACCATCAAGAGACAAAATACATAGTTTTTTTCCAGTTAATTTACAGTGGTAAATAATCCAGTTCTAGTTAATTTACAGTGGTAAATTACCTTCACAATTGAAAATGCATGCCAAACTCTTCAGCATAGTGGGCCTGGTGCTCCGGTTGGTACAGATGCACTTTCCTGGTCTGTCACCTTCAAAGGAAGATCTAGGTAAATAAAACAAACTGCTGAAACAGAAAGTTTTGTGCCACTAAATTGTCTTATTTCTCTCCAGATTGCTGGCAAGTGGGAAGTGCCTGCGCTGGGCACCAGTGGCCTTGCAGAGACGCTGATGAGCCAAGAGCAGGCTACTGACCAAATGTGAAAGGAACTGGGCTCCTAGCCTTCTCACTTGAGCTCTTCTGAAAATCCCTGCCATCACTCAGAGTGCCAAAGACTGTGCTGGCACAGTGCCACTCCAGTCACTGGTGTCTCACCAGCAAAGAAGTTGCCCAGGGTGTGTAACTGAAAACTACAAAGAGAGAGGGACACAGAACTGGAAGAGAAGTTGTTCTTCATGTCTAGGCATTTTTACACAAAGCCCAAAGTTTGGATCCTTCAGAGGAAGATGTAAACTCAGCTATAATTAATTCAACTATGCAATGCTGCTGGAAGTAGCACTGAAACTGGTACCGTTGGGGCTTGTTGTGTATACCAGATCAGCCTACGACTTGCACCTCAGAAGACTTACCCCAACATGTGCCTGTCCGTGTTGATGATTAATATCTTGTTGCTATGGTGCATGCATATCACGTGCACTACCACAAACTCATGGCACAGAACGTATATATTGGTGGTCCTGACAACTGTTCAGGGAGAACTGTTTGATTGCTCTGATTATTTGCCCCTGCATCTACTTATCTTGTCCTCAAACAAGTTTCAGAGGATCTCTGTCCTCTTTCAAACAGTACTGGCCTCCACAACAGAACCGTCATGGGATCTGTCTGCCACAGCTTCCATCAGGGCAAGTATCCCCTCTTGCACACATTTAGTAGAAATGTTTACTGACACTTTCAATACAGAATAATCTGCTGCCTCCAAATATGAGTTAATTGCTTTAGGGACCAATTTACTGTTAGAGGTCCTTTTTTAAGTCAATGGATGCTACAGTTGCTCCTGCAACAAGTTTAGATTTCACTTTTTGTCACAAAAAGAGTAAAGAATAAGATGGGGAATTTGCTAAAAGATTGGTTGTTGTAGGTTGTAACAATGCAGAAATTTGAGCTATTTTTTTTTATCATCGTGCTTATTGAATCACTTGGATCATTTTAATCAGAGAATTATCCATTGCTGCCAGGCCTTAATTGCTGAGAACCTGCAGAAGTGAAAGAGCCTTTTATACTATGCTGGCATCCCTAAATCTCCATCTAAGGTGAGTTCAGGGCAGCCCAGAATAAAGACTGGAAAGCCACAATTGAGCACACTCACGACCCAGTGCAGTTTGGAAGAGCAATGAGAGAATCTGTGCAGTCACCCTAAACTGAGATAGAATACAATTTCCCCAGCTTCCCAGACATAGGTAGAATGTGCGGGAGTGGGGAGGAGTAAATTTGACTCAGTGATTATGAAAGTAGAAATAAGGAATCATTGGGTTTGAAAGGATTCATGTCACAGCAAACAGCAATTTTACAGTGTCATCCCACTGCCAGCACAATTGCTGCTGTGTGCAAAGTATTCACACTTATTAAGCAGAGACACATTGCTATTTTGGGGTGTATTTGCTGGATTATGTCAACAAAAAGGAGTCTCAGCTTTTTATGAAAGCTAATTATATATATGCCTGAATAAAACAGAACGCCCATTAGCAATAGGAAGTGTCCTATTGGGCTTTTCATCCTGGAAGCTCTTTGAAGAATATTCACTTACACTTGAACAAAAAGCTTTGTCAAAAATATTATAGGATTTCTAGTCTTTTCCCATGAAATCCATCTAGAGTCTGCCACTTCATTCATTATACTTCATACAGAAATTCTGTGCAGACTTTTTCTCTAGATAGTATATTAAATTGTGTTGGTCCTGGCTGAACTACTTTGGTTTTCCAAAATGTTGCTAGTAGTCCTGGTTAGTTCCCATCACTGCCAAACCTTCAGCTCTCACTAGTGTCCATCTGACTCTACTACTCAATTGTACCTTCATGGTCCTGTGTTATTCCACCACAGGCCATATATGCTGGCCATACACCTTTGTTATTAGAAAACAAAACCAAAAAAAGGAATGTAGTGAAGTGCAAGATGTCGTAAAGAGGCAGTAATGCCCATTTGATCTTCAACATGTTTTTACGTGGTGCTGCGGCACGTACCTATTTTTAAGGATGGAACCTCTACAATGACATGGCTGATGTTAGTTGGTAATCTGTCAGCTCCTTGAAAACAAGGGTATTCTCCTTTTTTGCTTTTTTACTCTTACTTATATTTTGCAGATTCTAGGGTATAATGTTAAGAATCAGTATGAAGCCCAGTGCAGTGAGGATGAATGATGGGTATTTATGTGGCACTGGAAAATTAAATGACTCTTCCGAGTATCTATCTAATAGATTTCCAATGCTAATTGTACGCTCTTTTTAATTCTGCGAAGTAAATATAACATCACTCCAGGCTCTAAAAAGAATGCCAATCTACCATATCTTTAACCTTTACAATCTTTAAAAGTACTTAGGGACTTGCCAATTCTTTTTTTTTTTTTTTTTTTGAGTCAGCTATGAGTTTGAAGTTGGGTAGGACTCCATATGGACTCCAGAAAAGAGGAGCTCTGTTCCAATCTCATTTATCAATCTCATCAAGGCAAGGATTCTTTCTGCTCATACTGTCTACCTGGGTGGGATAGATGGAAAGTAGGTGGGGAAACAACTACCTCTGCACTGAAATTTTGAGAACTTGGTACTCTGGGCTGCAAATGTGAAGGAGAGCCAGTGGTGAATCTCCTATATATGAGAACTTTCTGCCCATGCGGAGTGGGCTTACCACTGAAAGCGCAAAAGAAGTGTGCATGTGTGGGAATCATGCCAGTGCACATGAAAAGCAGGGTCTCCTGCCTGATCTCCACTCCATGTGATCCTCTACTGGCACAGAAAACAGCAAAAAGGAGGAGGAAGCAGCTGGGGACCAGGCTCTATGAGCTCAACAATTCATGACATTGGGATTATATTTTGTTGCTTGAGCCCATTTACCATTTACTTTGTCTCAGAGAGATGCTCAGATGAATGCAATAAAGTATTTTGTCTCACAGGTTGGCACCCACCTCATCTGCCTCTCTCCATCAGCAGTCCATATCCTCAGGAAACTCAGAATTAGAATTGTGTTCTAAACAGCATAAAAGAGCTCATAAACATACTCCAGCAAAGAAACCCTGGCATCGTATTAGACACTCCTTGTTTTCTGAGATGGGGAGGCAAAATGATGACAAAGCAACAGACTACAAATTCTAAGGTGCCCTGACCCTGCAATTTTTCATCAGGACCAAGAGTAACACTTGATATCAGACAGGCAATATTTTTTTTTCATCCCTACTAGTTTCTTAGCACTGATTTAGGTTACACACTGACAACAGCGAAACAGCACTTAAATCACAGCCCTGAGAACCAGCTACACGTATCCAAAGCTGAGCAGAGTTCAAACCTCAGCCCTGTGCTGATACAGAGTCTTTTCTGTTTTAAATTGCCCACCCACTCACTATTCCCAGCTGCCGAGCCACATAACGTTCAAAGACCACACACAAGGTGCAAGAGCAATAGGGGCCTGTTGAAAATTAAAATGCAACAGCTTAGTCAAGAGGATAGACTCCAGCATTGCTGCCTAAAAAATGGGGACAAGGAGGAATAAGGAGAAAAGGGCAAACAGGACCATGGGAGATCCAGATGGAAAGTGATGGGAATCTACACTGGAGTGTATTTTACAGAAATCCCCTACCCTCAGCTCACAGGGACGCACAAAGCTTCCCATATGAAGGCAGGCAAGAACCAGATCAGAAAAAGGATAGCCGTTTTCCAGAAGCTAGACATGATACTAGGGTCCCAGGGTTTGTTCTCAGCTTGGCTGGAAGCACCTGGAGCAGGCCAAAAAAAGGTCTCCGTGCCTTGTTTCTTGGGCAAGTGTCAAGAAGTATAAGAGCCTCACACAAATGTTTTGCTATCTCCCACAGCCCCCAACAAACAAAAATCCTTGTTTCTTCTCTCCTGTTGAAAGGACCTTGCTCTGAAGTGCACTCGTTTGAATGCCATATAGTAGTGTCACTTACTCCTCTTCATCCCATTTAAAGAGCATGTTGCTACTGAAAACTAGAGAATGTTGCGATACCGCTCAGTGGTGACACAAAGGCAGAAGTGGGTCAGCACCATTACACATCACAGTGTGGGACACATGTCACAGCACCCCCACTTCTAGAAAAGAGTGTGATACCTTGCTGACTCCTAGACTGGGACTCTCAGGGTCTGAGGCAAACTGGTGACAATGGACATTATCCCGGACGTATCTGCTCAGTCGGCCGAGTTTGGTAAGAGTTTTTCACAGACTGTTCACCTAAAAATGTTTTTTAAACATTCTTAAGTTTTGTCCAGTTGCTTCTATACATAAAGAATGTGTATTTATATGTTTATACATCCAGATTTTGTGCTTCATCGCTAACCAAGGCTGAATATTTCAAGGCTGAGTCAAACTACTCTAAATATGGGCTATTTTATGCATCACTAAATGAACGGCTTTACTGCTGAGACAAGGCAATGTTGTAACAGCACACGGCACAACCCAGCAGTCGGAACAAGAAACAACGAAGGTGATTTCTAACAGAAAGCGCTCAGGGTGTTTGAAGAGGCAGACTGCCAGGGCTCTAGAGGTGTCATCCTACTCCCTAGTCCTCAGCTGAGACAGCAGCTCAGGAGAGATGAAAGGAGGAAAGATGAAACACAACATACCGTGAACTTTCTCACTGCAACTCTGATTACTGCTAGCAAAAGAAAGCAAGCTAAGGAGGCACTGGAAAGAAAGGCTCAGTCAAGTACCCCATACCAAATACTCTGAGATGGTGGTTTGAACCCAGAACCACGTGGTAGCATGTGTGCCTGTAAAGATCTAAACTGGAAGCACAGACACAAAAGTGCTTGCAGCGTTGTCAGTCCCTAATTTGGACTTCAAAACATGTGCAACAATGAACAGAGCAAAAGGTACTGAGACTA